CTGTCCCACACAGTAACTTTTCATCCTGAGGAATCTCCATGATGAATGGTTCCACAAGTAATATTTGTATTACTGATTAATTATTAATGAAGCATTTTTTAATACCTGAAAATTTTGTTTATTTCTCTATCTCTGTAAATATTTGATGAAATATGACTTATAGTTCTGTCTGTTGAATTATGTAAAAGTAGTCTGATGATTATATTTCTTCTTGCAGTCTGGGATTCTTGTGGGAGTCTGGTGTTAAAGTTTTTCATTGGATAGATCATTTATACACATGTATTTTTTCTAATCATGCTAATTGCATTTACAGACACATTTTTTTTAATAAAATGCTTAACCAAAAAATAAACTGAATTTTTGATTTGGATTAGTAGTACTTACAATGTATGTTTTCATTGCTAAAGAAAATCCTTTTACAGGGTAATTTAAATAAAATGATTTCATATCTTTAATGTATTTAGCTGATACTCAGTTGTTCTCTTATTGGTGTGGCCTGTTATCTATTTCTTGCATGATGAGATATTTCTCATATCACACTGCAGGGAGTGTGATATGAAAAAGTGATACGAAAACTGCATTAATTTGATTGGCTTATCCAGCATCATGAGACCATATTACGACATTTTCATTGGTTATTCATTAGGTCATTGATAACTTTCAAAGGTTAAAGACGATGTACAATGTCGTCCATGGAAACGGACATATGTGATTTCTTTAATAATATACAAATTAAAACACTCACACTTTTCACCTGAAAATCTTCTTTTTGACAAATTTTATTGCATTCTGAAGCATACAAAAAAAGTTTAAAAATGTCTGATGATAAAGTTTGACGCCGGAACAGGACATATGACGTCATGCTGGTATGTGCAAAAGACTAGATCAACAATTTGCAGAATTTTTACAATTTAACACGATGAGAGTGTTTACCATAAGTTAAACCATTGTGGTGACGTCAGCCTATTCATTTACCGTGGATTCTTTTTCTAGAATCAACGCTTCCTAAATCTGCCACTGAAATGGACTCACCAAATTATATTCAATTGTTTCCTTTGTGCGTCTAATTTCATTAAGTTTGAATTGGTTAATTTACTGATTTCTGTTCACTAATGGAATTAATTTAAAAACTTACCTTTAATTTTTGTAATTTGTATATGTCTTCACTGGGAATCGAACCCTTCATTGAAATCTGTTATGAATGACTGACATCAACACATCGACAAAACCTCTCGGCTACCAATGGGTTACAACTTAGATGTCTATTATATATATATAAATGAACATCGATCACACAGGGGTTGTACCTTTATATATACACAATGGGCAGTCGTATAGTATAAGTTGGTAGCCGCGAGGTTAACATGCTTAAAATCAACGAGTTAAAAGATAGGGATTTGTCGGTTTAGGTTCGAATCTCTGTATTATCTCTGTTGTCCCAATTCTGTTTTTTTTTCTAATTTTGCATGTTATAGTGGACATTTTGTTTTAATAATAGCGAGTTTTACCGTTAATTTTTGGATTATTATTGGCTATTTCACATGTTTGAAACAAAAATGATTACATTCTATTTGTCAAGAAAAAATCGTGATGTGCCTAGAGTGCTAGAAATTTCGGTAACATACTTATTATATATACTTTATATATGCTCTTTGGTCGGGTTGTTGTCTTTTTGACACATTCCCCATTTCCATTCTCAATTTTAATAGAAATAAGTTCGAATATGTCTTATTTTGTAAAAACAGATAATATTCAGATGCCTGATAATATAAAGATCTAAAGTGTTATATTTGTATTTTGTTAACCAATTAATTGTGATCTGAGATTTATCAATGCATCGTTAGACACGATAACATGGTTATTTAAACTCACTTACAATACCTCCTAATTAAGAAAAGGCTTTAATTTTGAAAAGAAATTAACACAATAGTTTAAGTTATAGATACAATGGATAAGCGTAGATTCATGAAAAACAAACCATTCGCCCTCCGGGCTCATGGTTTCTTTTTCAAGAATCCACGCTTATCCATTGTATCTATATAACAGAAATAGGTTTAAGAACTTGTGAGAATTGGATATTGCTAATGATATCAACTCTTGTTATTTAATTTAGATAGTATTAATAAACTTGCCAAAGGCTCGTATATTATTATATTGAAATTAAATAACTCGAGTTGATATCATGTGATATCCAATTCTAACTCGTTATGAAACCTATAATTATCAATCAGCAGTAAAAAATGTCAAATCAAAACAGCTAGTTCATTACCTTGTGCTATCACTTAATATTAAACCACTTAGAGGGTTTGATGGATAAGTGTCGAATTGAAGTTAATTTAATCTATCAATTATTGTAGGATTTCTGACTAATTAGTGATCGGTAATCAGCTTGAATAATTATGTGTCAGGGTTTCTAGTAACCCAAACAATTCAGTCCCTCGAGCTCCATGTAATCGATCTCTCCTACTTACTAAAGTTGCCTTCCTAGAGCAGCAAAATATAAAGACTGAAATATTCAGGTTAGGTTTCTAAGATAATTTAAAAAGCTGAATACTATATATGTGAACTATGAATGAAAGAATCAATAAATCAATGAATGACCAAACTTTTGAAAAAATGAAAAAAAACCCAATAAAACGAACAAACAAACAACTAACTAATGAACAAATGAAAGGATAAACACTTTATGTCAAAGTTGAAGAGAATATTAATATATACAATTACATCAGATATATCTACATCTAAACATCCCCATTTAAAATTGTATCATTTGACAAAAGCCTGTTAGCCCTTTGAAATGTAAGAAAACATATAAAAGTTTCTTTTTAAATCATTGAGGATTTGGCAATAGATTTTTCAATTGCTTCTCTCTTCTGCCACAATTCATGTAAGGAGAGATGTCGGCAGATAGGTGTTACTTTTGGTGTTACCTTTGGTTTTACAAATTTACAATAGCCTAAATATCTTATCCCCACTTCGCCACTTTTACCTAGGAAGGCTAGGATTACAAAAAAATGTATGGAGGAAGTTAAGGATGAAACCTTGTAATTAGCTAGTCATTGTCACCTGCCCTTGACATCATTTTCATGCTCCAGTGGTCAAGTTAAGTTTTCAGGATGGTCTTCCTCAGCATTTATGCATGAAAGGTCAACAATATTTGGTTTATGGATCCGTTTAGAGAAGAATATGTCTGTTGATGTATGTCATATAGCATTGACATCATTTTCAAACTTCAGTGTCAATCAGATCATGTTAAGTTTTTGTAAGAAGATCTTTTCCATAGTACCTATACAGGACAAGTCAACACTACTTGGTTTTGATGATGGATGGAGCAGTATTTATCCTTCTAACATGTTTCTGTCTTTTGGAGCAGTATTCATCCTTCTGACATGTTTCTGTCTTGTGGAGCAGTATTTATCATTCTGACATGTTTCTGTCTTATGGAGCAGAATTTATCCTTCTGACATGTTTCTGTCTTGTGGAGTAGTATTTATCCTTCTAGCATGTTTCTGTCTTGTGGAGCAGTATTTATCCTTCTGACATGTTTCTGTCTTGTGGAGCAGTATTTATCCTTCTGACATGTTTCTGTCTTTTGGAGCAGTATTTATCCTTCTGACATGTTTCTGTCTTGTGGAGCAGTATTTATCCTTCTGACATGTTTTTGTCTTGTGGAGCAGTATTTATCCTTCTGACATGTTTCTGTCTTGTGGATCATTATTTATCTATCTGACATGTTTCTGTCTTGTGGAGCAGTATTTATCCTTCTGACATGTTTCTGTCTTGTGGAGCAGTATTTATCCTTCTGACATGTTTCTGTCTTGTGGAGCAGTATTTATCCTTCTGACATGTTTCTGTCTTGTGGATCATTATTTATCCTTCTGACATGTTTCTGTCTTGTGGATCATTATTTATCTATCTGACATGTTTCTGTCTTGTGGAGCAGTATTTATCCTTCTGACATGTTTCTGTCTTGTGGAGCAGTATTTATCCTTCTGACATGTTTCTGTCTTGTGGGGCAGTATTTATCCTTCTGACATGTTTCTGTCTTGTGGATCATTATTTATCCTTCTGACATGTTTCTGTCTTGTGGATCATTATTTATCCTTGTGACATGTTTCTGTCTTGTGGTCAAGTTGTGGAGCAGTATTTATCCTTCTGACATGTTTCTGTCGTGTGTATTAATTCTATTGAACCTTATAATTTCTGTATTATTTATCAACATGAATGAGCTTATTTTCATTATAAGTTGTTAAGTTCTACGGTCTATACATTTGAAAAGAATAAGAGTGCATGATATGCTGGAAATATTTCCATGTGCACATTACAGATATTATTTGACTAGTGAGTTAAATAACCTAAGTTTGAGACTTCATTACCCTTTAAAAACAAATATTGCAGCAGGAGAGATATTCTTATGTGTCAGTCAACTCTTCTTCTTCACCAACATTGATTTGAAATCATTATGTAGTGTACATATTTTTTCAGATAATTACCTCCTTTTAAGCAAAATGATTTTGAGAAATTACAATATTGGAAAAGTCCTTACGACATATGTGCAAATTTTCACATATAGAATGTAATTTTGTTACCTTTAAAAATATTAGTAATTTCTACTGATTTACTGTTTTATCATATTTGATCTTATGGTTGTGTTTGTAATCTTTCTATGGTGTGCAGTTGCAAGCATTTATTGACATATTTTTAATGATGTTGATATACCTAAATTAGTATTTCTCTGCATAAATAAATATTGACTGTTTAAGGAAGAAGAACATACAGATTAGGATATCATCAAAGGTATTTATTCAAATTATTGGTAATTGATTGGTTGCCTTAAGTGAGATGATAATGCAGTAAAGATAATTGTGATGTGGTAAAAGCCATGTAGGTCTGAAATATTGAAATTTTCCTTTAGAGTGACCCAGCAGCTCTCTTGTGTATCATGTTATGTATGAATCTGTCAATTGCACTAAGTAGTTTATATTTGTTTCTATCTGCAGATGATTGGTTGTACAGATGAGGAAGCATTATTTGCTAACTGAATAAATGGAGTATTGATACTTGCAATAACAGGTCAGTAGGTTTTGTTTTTAAGGATCATATGATCACAAAAATTTAAGTTGAAAGTTGTTTTTGAATATGTTAAGGGTCGTCTGTTTGTCTATCTGAAAGAGCTGGTTAGAAATCTTTCCTCAAACTTTTCTTGGCTTCTATGAAAGGGAATGATTTTATATCAGGTCTGCAGCTTCATAATGTTGAGTTATAAACGTCAACGTTGACATCTGCCTTGCAGCCACTTACTGTTTGCCGATAATTTGAAATTTTACAACATGCATTGTGATAGGAAAACTTTTGTCACACTTTTGTTTTGCTTCTATGGAAGGTAATGATTTCATATTTGGTCTGCAACTTCATTTTGTTGATTTGTAGAGGGTAAGCAACAAAGGTGGATTTAGTGGGGGGTTGCATATTAAACCACTGAGCAATGTTTACATCTACTGTGCAGCTAGTTTATGTTTCCTTTTATAGTTTGAAATTTTAAAACACTCAATGTAAGCAAAATTCTCGTCAAACTTTTCTTGCCTTCTATGGAAGGAAATGATTATATATTTGTTCTACAGCTTGATAATGATGAGTTATAGTTTGTAGTGTGTAAGAAATTTGTACATCTGCACTGTAGCCACTTCCTGTTTGCCGATAGTTTGAAATTTTACAATACTGTAAATTCAGAAATTATTGCGTGCATTTATTATTGCAATTTTTTAAGAAAAGACAAAAATGCGAGATTAATTATTGCAATTATAGGAAAAACTGCATACAGATATATGTATCAGATATCAAAATGTGAGTTCTTATTATTGCAGTAATCACCCAGTCTTATTATTTGCAATAATAAAAACCTCGCAATAATTTCTGAATTTACTGTACTCATTGTACAAGGAATGTTCTTGTCTTCAGAGAAAGGGAATGATATGTAATTCTTCAATATACATGTTACCTCAATCAATTGCAATTTTTTATATGCCCCACCTACGATAGTAGAGGGGCATTATGTTTTTCGGTCCGTTCGTCAGTCCGTCCGTCCGTCTGTCCCGCTTCAGGTTAAAGTTTTTGGTCAAGGTAGTTTTTGATGAAGTTGAAGTCCAATCAACTTGAAACTTAGTACACATGTTCCCTATGATATTATCTTTCTAATTTTAATTCCATATTAGAGTTTTGACCCCAATTTCACGGTCCACTGAACATAGAAAATGATAGTGTTATATTATATATATATATATATATATATATATACAAGTCTAAATTGAAAACAACGTTCAAACCTATGATTGCGTTGGATAAAAACCGCAATTTTTATACGTGTGCATGCAAAACAAATTTCTTGGTAGAGGGGTCTAAATACAGCACAAACAACATTTTCCAAAAGACCAAAATGAGTGAAAAAGTATATTTTAACAAAACGCATTTGACTAGCAGGTCGAACAACTGATGTTCTTAAACCCTGCTGACTGCCATTGGCGATTGCCAAATAAACGGATCACAAGATGTAACAAAATAGATATATATATATACATATTTAAAATTTCAATAAAAACAGTGCAAGTACAAATATAAAAAAATATTAAGAAGAAAATGCAAATTTTTTGCTGTTAAAAATAGTTTACATCATTTCTACTGGTATCACTCCTGACAGAAGATATTCATGGTAAACATTTATAATATATGATATTAAGATAGGTTGTCTCTTTTATCATCATGTTTAAAACATGATATAAGCATGCTTGAAATAATATAAAATGATTTTAGATACACCAAAATATTTGCATTTTCTCCTATTTTATTTTCTATGTTAAATTTCATTTCAGACATATCCTAATATGTGAATGATTAAGTTGAAAGTTAGTTAGATTTAGAATACTACTAAGCCAACATTAATGATGGAGTTTACAAATATGTTACTGTCTTTGTTCTTCATTTGGACATTATGTTTCTCCATGTGTGATTGTAATACTGGAGGACGAGTGGCCCACCAACCCAAGTACAATACAGATAATAGTAGTACAAAAAGTAATGAGACACACCTCGATGGAAACAATACAGATCACCATCGTCATATTCATGGTGTAGAAATTGCTGAATGGAAATTTCAAGAGTTACGAGAGCCTTTCATTTTTACAATTGTTGTTTTATTAGCTGGACTCAGCAAAATTGGTAAGTAACCTTAGAAAGGGGGGGGGGGGGGGGGGAGAGAAAAAAGAAATGTTCGTTTATTTCATTTAATATGAAAATTATCATCAAAGAGACCTCCTAAAAATTACTTAATGTTATAGAATCTTAAGCAACGGATGGTACAATGTAGCTGCTTGAAGGGTTACAAAAGATTCTGGTACATTTATTGATCATGATTACTGTAAATTCAGAAATTATTGCGTGCATTAATAATTGGGATTCTGAAAAAATTACAAAAGTGTAATAGTAATTATTGGGATTTAAATTTTTTTTTACAAAAGTGTAATATTAATTACATTTGTTGTATTGCGATTTTAGAAAAAATCTGCATACATATTGAAAAACCTTGCAATAATTTCTGATTTTACAGTATGTCATGATGAGTGTCCAAGTATGGTACAGGAATCACATGTTTGTTTCCATAAGTAATTCAAAGTAAAAACTGCATCAAAATCAAACTTAAATTATAATTCCAAAATGTGGATTAACCCCCAAAGACACCTGAAGCTCAGAAATGGTAACATCTATGCAAAATCTGATGACATTTCACATGTCTGCAATTTACTCTTTATACCAAGAGATACTGATGCAATTATAAAGTATTAATGCTGATCTTTCATATTTCCATTTAATGTCATTGAAGCTTCCATGATTTGTTTGCATTAACAAAGAGTAATATTTCATACAATTCTAGAATATGCATTGGAAGACTTAAGTCTCCTGGATATTTATAAAAGGAGATGTTGGTTGATGGTTTGATTGATTGACAGTTGAGTGGCAATGTATACATATAGAAAGCAAGAGAAAGATCAGATCAGAATTGCATTCAACATTTTAATACCTGAATTACAATATATATCTTATTTGAGAAAAAAAAAATGGCCATTGCTTGTGGAGAAGTCCAGTTTTCATTTCAATTAAATTTACCACTATCAATTATACCTCTTAGCATCTTAGACACTGTATTTTTTAGGGTTAACAGTCTTCTTTAATTCTAGGATAGTTTCCTTTTTGTAACAGTTTACTTTACTATGTTTAAATAGTAAAAGTCTGCAATGAGTAAAAAAGGAGAGCCAATGAATTATTTGAGGGATGCCATCAGCAAATCATGCCAATAGACAATTGCTGAAAGAGTGTTGCATTATGGGAAGGTCACTGTTTTGTCTTTAACCTGAACACTGAGCATGAGCAACATAAGTTTAGAGGACAGAAATTTATTTTCTCAAAAAATCCATTCAAACAAAAAATATTCTAAAAATTATGGGAAAATGTTGTATTTTATTCAGGAAGGAAATGAGAGACCTTGTCAAAAAAATTTAATGATCAGAGATAAATATGATTATTAAATTGTTTATGTCAAAGATCTGTGAATGATATCTCTTATCTTAAGTACAATTCTGGGTTACCGGTATGTGCATTTTATGATCAAACCATATCTTTTTGCACATTTCCTGTCATTGACTGTGTGAGATTGTAGGACAAACAACTATATCGACTAAAGGAACTAATGAAAAACAACTGTCATATTCCGTACAGGCATTTTCTGAAGAAAATTTGGGGGTTAAACTTGGTTTTATAGCTAGCTAAATTTTACCTCGCATGAGAGATGTTTAAAGTTCCTTTATATTGACATTTTGGGTGAGTAACCCAAACAGACATCATTGGTCAATGTGACAGTAATTTGGATCCAGCAGCCAAAACTGTAAACATATAGCACAGATATACAATGAATTAACACAACTGACTAAAAAAATGCATACAAACATACAAAGAAATCTGACAAAAAAGTTATCGTAGTTGATAGTAAATCAGACATTTGTCTGCAGACAGCAAAAAAGTTTTTGTATTTTATGCCATACTATTTTGTCGAAGACAGATGAATTGCTCCATTTTGATCTCATTATAGAAGCTGACATTCCAAGCTTCTCCTTTTGTTATATACCTACTATATTTGCAAATGAATTAAATTTATTTCATGTGTGATCATGATAGATAGAACCATCCATGATATATTTCTTTTCTAAAATGGTTTCCGATTCTTTAACAAATTAGATTGGTCAAGTACATTGTAGTTGCATGATGTAAATGTTTATTTATGGTCTGTGAAATTGAGGTTAGGTTGACAAGAGCCTATTAAAATCCAGACAGGAAACCTTATGTAACAGCAAGTGAGGTATATGTTACACCACAATGTAGCAAATTGTTCTTAGCCTTAGATTGGAAAATTGAATTATTGATTTTATTTTGACCAATATTAAAGAAATGCTGAAGTCATTAGAGCTAGTTGTATATATATATATATATATATATATATTTCTATCATTCTATCATGCTATAGCATGGTGGACATCTGATGGCAATATAGACTTTAAAAATAAGAAAGATTATAATTATAAAGGTCACCATCAGACTGTTTTGGCAAGTATTCCCTTTTGGTAATATATTATGCTACAACAAATGTCAACAACAGTTAGTCATTTATAATAAAAGGTATAAAACCACTAATTCATAGCCCCATTGCTTTCTGTGTTAAATTCTGCAATTTCAAGCATAAATGGCTACTTTGTCTTAAGTTCAAATAAAGTGGCAGTTATTTCATATCAAAACTGTACCTTATGCTGACTTGTGCTGAAAAAATCAACAACAATTTAATTGCATATTAGAGCGTACTGGTTCCCGGAAGTTTGATAGTACAAAAACAGGAACTTCTGATCTGAACAACAGGCCAAATGAGCCCTCCTATTAAAATTTCATATACTTCTTTATTATTCAAATAAAACTTTCAACAAGGGTTTTACAGTGATCCCAAGTCCCCAAACTTTCATTTGATACTAAAACTACCCAAATATTCCCACTATTGACAAAAATACAGCTATGCGTAGGAACTATTTTGTTTAAAATATGTACTACTTTCTTGTATGTTCTTTCCGACTGGGCCTGAATTAGTGGTTCTATACCATAAAGCACTTGTTAAATTAACAAAGTAATAAGCTTCTTATACAAAATAATAAGTGTCTTGCAAATTCAATGTAAATTTTATGACAAATTTAATAGTCATGATAGTCGAAGTGGTACCCATGTGTTTGTTTAAAGCTTCTACTCTGTAATGAAAAGGTCATGTCTTTTGAAATTTTTTACTAACAATGTTTGGGAAACCCAAATATTGACTAATTTCATGATGAATCAGAATAGATGGCAAACATGGCAGCAGAAATGTCAGAAAGGTTCCCAGTAAACCCTATGGGAAATAGCATGTTTTGTGTCTTCATTAGGCATAGGTGTCCACATTGCTGGTGGAAATTTTGACTCACTGGTTAGGTGATAATTTTTTTTTTTTTTTTAAAGTTATATGTATAAGTAAATTTGTTTAATTTTGGAAATCATAATTTGTTTATAAAAAATCAAGGATTTATTTTATATATATATTTTTTTAAATTAATCTGCACAAACGTAGTGACTTTTCAACAGGTAAATTTCCCACAAACGTAATGCGTTTTGTCCCGCAAACATAACACGCTGGCTTACATAACATAGAAATCTTGTGTTTCAATGTGGGACTCATCAAATTAGTATGCAGGAAATGTTTAAGCTATGCTGGTAGTGAAGTGGGCATGTTTCGGTGGCAATATTTGAAATATAATTGTTTTTCTTATCTGGTAATGATAAAAAAAAAGGAATTTGTAGTGTAAAGTACCTAATGTAAAAGATGGTGGGCATCATGACAATACTCTGATTTTTTTGGATTTTTTTTTATTATAATTTTCAAAACTCCTGTGTATTTAATATTAATCAAATGGAATGCCTATTAATTATGGTGCCTCCTCATAGGATTGATGATTTAGAGACCCTCTATGAACAAAAATCCTCATTTTATACTGATTGGTTGACAAACATGGCTGCAGTGATGCTGCAAAAGTGTGTGATTATCAACTTTGGAAATCACCTTTGTATCCTTTTCTTGGAATCTATACAAGGCCAGTGTGGATCAATCTAATCCTGTAAGATATATATGGATGGTCTTACATAAACGTATCTAATTTTATTTTGTTTTAAGAAAAAACATGACGACTAAAGGCAATTTTTTATTTTGATTGATGCATTTTTGACTTTCTCCTCCCCCTTGAGCTCTGTTGGAAATCTTAGAAACATCTTAATCTGGCCATTGTAAACATGGCATGGAGAAAAAAATGTACTGTAGAAAATTCCTCTTTTCATTCCACCTGAAAAACCTAAACCATTCTCCCACCCTTATGGCCTTATAAGATGTAATTCTTAATTATGATTAAATTTAAAATGAAATGGAAATATTCTAAAAAATCCTGTTAAAAGTTAGGCTAAGAGCTTCCAAACTCCAGGAGACTGAACAGATTTAAAATGTAATTGTTCTTTGCATTCTCAATATTTTCTAAGCTTGATTGATATTTTATTTGTTCTTTTGGGTTTAAGAATTAATGGTGTAACATGCACTTTAATGGTATTGATAGTGTCATGCTATTTTAAAAGTTATTCTTAGAAGAACTTTTTGCCTGTAGCTAGAATAAAAGGTTAGACTTTCCCCTTGGGATATAATTGATATTTTAAAACTGTTGTTTTGATATAGTGTGTTATATAGGTTTTTCCAGGTATTTTCAAAAGTCTGGAAGGCATCAATGAAGTCTTCCTATTCATTACCATGTTCAGACTTCAGGTAATTCATATTCCGAGTTCTAACAGTGGTTTTAAGAAATGCACATACAACAGTTTCAAGGAAATTTAGAAAGATAGAATGAACAATAAACAATTCAAGGAATGTATGGGGAAAAAAGGAATTTTTTAACTCTTTGTGATATTCCTTGTTATAAAATGTGTTATCTCTATTTCTTTTATTCCTGAAATATCTTTTACAAAATCAATAGTCGAATAATATGCTGATAATAACTCAAGCAGCTACATTTATATGCCAATAAAGTCCTATAAAACAGATTCTTAGAATCATTCTTTTG